TTTATTCCTGACGCCGCGCCCTCTCACTCCAAGTACTTTCTCCCCTCACTTTCCTCTTATAACCCTTCTCCCCTCCCCTCCCCCCCTCTACTACCCAAAGCTTACCCTCCCTCACTTCTCCTCTCCCTTTCACTTGCCCCTTTAACCTTTCCCTCCCTCCGATAAGGTGTTAGGGGATAAAATATTCTCTAACATCTTTCCCTCTCCCTTCCTGCCCCCCCCCCTTTCCCTCTTTTCTGCTCCCCACCCCCCCCCTCTTCCAACCGCAAATGATCTACTTAGTACGTCTCCCCAAGAATATCCACACTAGGAATATCCGTTATAACAAATGGAATCGAACTAAATTATCAAATTATTGTCTCCTCTCCCCCCTTAAATCCTACTTACTATTCTCCTTCTTAATTCGCTTCTCTGCTTCCCCCCCCCCCCCCTTCCCCTTCCCTTTCCTTTCGCCCTTCCCTTTTTTTCCATTTTGCCTCCCCCCTTTTTTTTCTACCCTTCTCCCTTCACCTACTTCTGCCCCCCCCCCCCCCCTCTTTTCCAAACGATGTATGAACCCTCTCCTTTCTCCCTCTTTCAGGGATCCCCTAATCCTCTCTCATAACCCATCCCCTTCCCCTTCCCTTCCCTCGCCTCCCCCACTCTCGCCTTTCCACCCGCCCTTCCCCCCCTCTTTCCCCTCACCATCAAACGACCAACTACGACCTTGCTTCTTCTCTCCCTACCACAGGCTCAGAGTCTGACCCTGGAGGGCGTCGACCGCCACGTCGAGGGCACGTACCTGTGCACGGCCGACAACGGGATCGGTGAGGCTGCGGTGGCGGCCATGAGCATCATCGTCGAATACCCGCCCGAGATCACCACCGAGAAGGTAGGGATATTTGTCACTGTTTTGGGAGGCTGTGGGATTCCCTATTCGTCTGCCCGATTCTGTTTGGTTCTGTTTTTTTTTTCTGTCTGTGGCGTGTTTGTTTGCGCTTTTGTGTCTGTGTCTCTGGGTATCTTCTATTTTTGTTGTTGTTGTTTTTATTGTCCGTCTAGTTTCTATCTCTGTTTTTGATCTGTGGATGTGTATCAGTGTGGGTGTTGATCTCTCTCTCTCTCTCTCTCTCTCTCTCTCTCTCTCTCTCTCTCTCTCTCTCTCTCTCTCTCTCTCTCTTTCTGTCTACATCTCATCCTCCCTGTTTCTCTTTGTGTGAATATGAAAGTCCTTCATGTAATCCTACCTAGAACCAGTGTAGCTGTTTTAATGGAAAGGGAGAGAGAATACAAGAGAGTGAGAGTGAGTGAGTGAGTGAGAGAGAGAGAGAGAGAGAGAGAGAGAGAGAGAGAGAGAGAGAGAGAGAGAGAGAGAGAGAGAGAGAGAGAGAGAGAGAGAGAGAGGAGAAGGAGAGAGAAAGAGAGGAGCGTCCCACGCAACCATGCAGCCATACCCATCTTTAACGTGCCTCGCCCACCCCCTACACTGCAGACCTCCCTGAGGCTTCTAACATCCCCCCCCCCCCCCCTCTCCCTCCCGCAGGCCATCGTGCGCACCGGCGAGGGCGACCAGGTGGAGCTCGTGTGCCTCGTCCGCGGCCGCCCCGTCCCCGAGGTGGTGTGGACGCGTGATGGACTCCCGATCCCCAACACCGACATGATGGACACCAAGCTTCACCACCAACAGCAGACTCAACACCAGCAACAGGACCACAACTCCCACATGGTGCACAGTCACTCGGCCCATCGCCACACGCTCACCATCAAGCACGTCACTGAAAAGGACTTTGGGGCTTACATGTGCATCGCTAAGAACAGTCACGGACAGAAGGACGCGACCATACAGATGACAGGTGAGGGCGGGGGTAGGGGGAGGATGGGGGGATGGAAAGGGAAGGGAAGGGGTAGAGAGGGAAAGGAAAAAGGGGGGGAAGGAAAGGGAAGGGATAGAGAGGGGATGGGAGGGGGAAGGGGGGGAAAGGGAAGGGGAAGGGGAGAGGTAGGGAGGGAAAGGAAGGGGGGGGGAAGGGAGGGATAGAGAGGGGATGGGAGGAGGAAGGGAAGGGGTAGAGAGTGAAAGGGAAGGGATAGGGAGGGGATGGGAAGGGTAAGGGAAGGGGTAGGGAGGGAAAGGAAGGGGGGGGTGGAAAAAGGAAGGGGTAGAGAGGGGATGGGAGGGGGAAGGGAAGGGGTAGAGAGGGAAAGGAAAGGCGAAGAGAAATGGTGGGAAGGGGGAGTAAGTGAATGAAAAGGAAAGTATGTGAGAAATAGATAATGAGTGAGTGAAGCAGTGGATGAGTGAGTAAACGCGAGAGCGAGCAAGTAAATGACAGAGAGAGAAAGAGAGAGAGAGAGAGAGAGAGAGAGAGAGAGAGAGAGAGAGAGAGAGAGAGAGAGAGAAAGGAGAGATAAGGGCTAAATGAGACCACGAAGGGAGTACCAAGAAGACCGCTAAGACCCGGATCGCGCGAGGCCTAAAAACCAAGGGCTCCCCCCCGCTCGCCTCCTCCGTAAAGCCTAA